CGATGCCCTACACGACTTCCTGGAGCGGATTGAGGAACTGGCCGAATGCTACCAAATCCTGCCAGACCAACTGCTCCCAACCCTCCCCGAGATCTTACGCGACAAAGCACTCCACCTGGGCTAGATTCCGCGCCGAGGCAGAAAGATACTTCCTGCCTAAACGACACATAAACCAGTTAGAAGATACCATTCGCAAGCGATCGAGGAGCTCATGGAGCTTACCGATGAGTATGAGCTGCTTAGAAACGAAGAATCCAGACAAAATAGACAAAGGGCACACAACCTTTCCACTGCTGCAAGAAGCGTGGGCATCAGCGTTACCATTGTCACAACCCACGGCGGCTGTTCTACTCCCGTTGCGGACAAGGCGGAACTTTCTTCAGGAATTGTCCATGCCCCAAATCAACCATTACAGCGCCACCCATCACCCAAGCTACTACATTGCAATCCGAACGGCGGAATATCGACGGTCGCTTCTACGCCGACGTAACCATCGAAGGCTTACACGTACGAGCACTAATGGACACAGGAGCCACTCTGACGTACGTGGACGACAGCATGCGCGCCCACTTAGAACGACTCAACATCCGACCGCAGCCTAATAAGCAGAACATCCAACTTGCGGATCAGACATGCGTTGCCAGTACGCCCACCTACCCCGTCAGAATCAAGTATAACGAGCGAACCTAGCAGAACGAATAATACTAGGAATGGTCTTCCTGTCAAAACGAGGCATTGTTGTAACCTTAGATGGCCAGCCACTAAATCCCGATACGTCACCGAAACCTACACCCACGATGTGTTGCCTAACAGAACGGGCTCATCTGGATGAGGAACCGAACCAGGAACTAACCCACTCCTTAGACTACCTCAAGATGCTGTTTTCCAAAATCACCGGCCCAATCACCACAGCCAAGCGTGTCATTACACTGCGACACAACCTACCGGAGTTGTACTATTACCCGTCGGCCAAAGTTACTCAGATGCAAACAGCTAAGGTAGCATCACGCAAAAGATCGAGAAAGAATCTCCAACCAACACCACCTGACGAACCTCGGCCAATATTACCATGGCGACCTCCTCGAAGCAGTCCCATGGCCACCCAACAAGCCACGTATCCGGAGCGTGAAAATGGAGCCACCTTTAGCATTACCACACCCAGACCAATGGGAACCGCTGTTCACGATCACTACACGCCCTGCCGAAACTCGCGATATAACCAGCCCACCAGCCGACAGCAACAACAAAGAGATCACCACGGTAAAACCCGTACTAGACCGTGCAGTACACATCGAGGAGACAACACCGGAAGATCCATTCCGAAACCTGCGCCTACAATGACCATACAACAACTTACGCAAATGGCGAATCCGCTGGCACAGACGCGAACTCTATGTCCTCCGCATGGACGCAGACCACGCCCTGGTCAGGAACCGCGAGCAAATCCGTGTGATAGAATTTGAAGATCGAGAAGGAAGCTACACAATACGACCCACCAAAATTGTAAAAACACCCCACGGAACTGGAAGATTAACATCCCATCATATATATGCCATACTCACTTATAAAACGCATGAAATGAACAACTTATTTTTTGCTTTCTGAATTTTCTACCTTTAAGTGAAATGTAATTTCATACCTGAAAGAGGAAAACTAGGTGTAACTATAAGTAACCTTACAAGTACAAAACAAATATTTATAAATATTAGTCTCGAGAATAGTATTTATTTTAAGTAAATTTTTTTGGTTATTTTATGTAAAAAATGTTTTTCTTTCTCACCTTACAAAAATATATATCTACAATAAAAGTCACTAAACACACACACCGGCCGAGCCTCCACACTTCGTGTGAATGTTTTACCATTACCGCCTCACAATGCCAAGCCACCACGATTGAATACATACTGCTCCGCCTCCACAGGTAGGCACGGGGCGCATCGAGACGGCTTAGCCCCCCTCCCCCCCTGCCTGCGGGAGGGGCCGACAATTTGCAGGAAACATACTAACGATCAGCTTCCGTAGGTCAACTTCCGTAGCTTTCCTTCTGTGACTATTTCGGACCGCCAGCATCAACTACCGCCTCTAGGCCACGACTAAAGTGAAGATCCGCCGCCGACTGTCACCGAGGACCATAAATTGTGCCAGTGCTATCCAGGGCTGTCGCTACCTTCAAGGACGAGCACATCTTCACGATCACTGGGCCGCCAATAGCATCGCCGCCCCTAGGCCAGACCACTACCGAAGAGCCGCTACGTGCCATCTGTAAGAACCGCCCACATCCTCGTCATCCAGGGCCGTAGTCATCGCCATTACTCATCAGGACCGGAGTTGTCCTCTTCGTCAAAAATCCGGGCCGCTAACGCTATCACCGCCCACGGGCCGTCATCCCCCGTCACGAGCATCAGAAACCTCAGGTACGCCCAGCCACCATCGCTCAGGGCTGGTGCCCCCGTCGTAACCAAAAAGAGGCCCGATAGCATAACCAGGGCCGCCGAGACTGTTATCACGGCGGGAGGTCGCTACCGCCCTCGTCACTATTTGGGCCACCGTCAACAACACCGCAGGGCCGTAACCACTACTACAAAGGGGCTGCTACTGCCGCCGCAACCAGCTCTCATTGGCTGCAGCACCAGTACTGTGGGCGTTTACCATTCTTACGCTCGCTACCGCTCTCACGGTTGTCATCATTGATCACCGAACCGTCACCGCTCTCACCGTCACCGTTACCGTCACTAGCCCCCGGACAGCCCCCGCCCACTGAACCACGACGCCGACCGCCGACCAGTTAGTCTCTCTCCCTCTCCGTACCTCCCTCTCTCTTCTTGGACGTCAAGGTGCCGGTATTCTGGCCAAACAGCCGCGTGTGTGTGTGGTTGTGTTCACTACAGTAAACTACTGTGTTTTATTTTATTCAGTGGGGGTTAGTGGGACCTCCGCCCAACCCTGGAGCGGCTGAGTTACCTCAGCCTTCGATAAAACCCACCTCATAACAGGTTATATATGAAAATTAAAGATAATTTTCTGTTTTATTTTAATAAAGTATTCAAATGTATTACTAATTAGTAATTTTTTTGTTTAAAATATTTTTTTTTTATAAAAAAGGTATTTTTTCCTTTGAATGTGTTTTTTCTAAAATTTTTATATACGAAGTATACAAATATGCAAATCAGAAGAAAGGGGATTTAATCGTCTTTAAAATGATCCCAATATTTAAAAAAGAGGTTAGTAATTTTGTTGTTTACAGTATTTTGTTTATAAAAATAAAGCTATTTTTTCATTTAAATGTGTTTTTTTTTTCTAAAATTTTTATATACGAAGTATACA